GAGATTTTTTTAAAAGACGCATCGGCAAGGACGCGAGGTGTCTCGAGAAGATCTTCAAAATTTTGAATTTCCTCATTCAAGTTATTCAAATCCACCGCCAGGAACTTATTTCAGATCCAGTGGCAAGCCCTCGGGTGGCCATCGCACAGGAAGAAGTAAACTTCAGTCAATTCCTTCCTTCCTCAAGGGTAATCGTCGTCGATGTCCTGGTTTTCCTGTTCCTCTTATTCCCAATCGTCTTAAACTGTCAAAGCACGCAATATCGTCAGAATCCTCTGCCGTTTCTCCTCCAGCAACCGATCTCTGTGTTTGTAGATGTAGTCGCCTGCATTCGGAAGTCCCTTGACCACACAGGCCGACATCGCAGTTCTGTATGTATTCATGTCTGCAACCTCGTACCTGCAGTTTGAGAATAATTAAGGTTATACATCATCTAAAGCTCAAAACCAATGTCGTCACACATAAAGACAGAACCACAGAAAATATGTAGCCCCTTCATGACAAAAAAGAAAAACCTTATCAAGACCTTTATATTCACCCTTAAATATTTTTCTTTTAAATTTACGTCGCCTACGTCTAACGAACGAATGTCAGTGCTATTACGCACAAAAGCTTAACCATTTTCTTCAAAAATGTGTTTTTGTGGTTCTAAGATGTCTGCGGTGTCGAATAATTCCGAAGGCATTTTCTTTGGGACTCGTCGTCTGTGTCGACGTTCGACGGGGTTGCTCTGGATTCAGGCAGAAGGGACGTCGAAGCTTGGATTTAATGACCGAACTTGATTGAAACATTGTCCTGCACTCCATCAGTGCAACACACAAGCCCCGCCCACATTTCGCGTACGGCTTACTTTCATCCGTGATGATGGAAGCAGCAAACGCCTCTGAAACTTCGGACAATTTCTAAGAGCCCACAAGGCCAACCAAAAAACTCCATAGGACTGGCCACCTTGATCGAAACTCATTCATGCTTCACAAGTTATAGTTCGTAAAAAGATCCTAAACTAACAAAGAAACAAACGAACCATTTATTTCTGCGGTCGTCGAAACGCTCCACTTGGCAAGAGCTGGTTTCGCTACTGAAACCACCGATGGCGAAGATGGCGTCGTCAATCACTTGAAGCGCCAAGTTGCCACGTGGATTAAGCAGGTGGGAGATCTGGGTCCACGTGTCTGTTTCTGGGTCGTATTTCTCGCCACTGCTCGTAGCGCCAAACGCTCGGACAAATCCTCCTGCGGGTGCAAATGCTCTGTGTTAGGACACAAAATACGAAATTGGGCTGCCGAACGAAAAGTGTTCAAGTCTTTGCCGATAATTATTACTCCTTGAACTGGTCAAGGAATTTCTGCCCTTCAATGGAACCAGAATTTTCATTACCATGTCACAAGATCCTATCATTCGACCGTTCTCACGTAACTTATTTTTTCTAAAGTAATTTTTAATATTATCCTCCTGTTTACGTGGTCTCTTCCCTTCAGGTTTTCAGATTAAAACTTAGCATTTCTCTATATTCCTTGAGTACTACATACTCCGCCCACCTCATAAATATTAAATTCGGTCCACGTAATGAATGAACGAACGAAACAAAAAATGTCTAAAGCCACATGAGTGAGAAGAGACAAATTCACTCCTTTTTGCAATTTTCATGTTTGTAACAGCAACAAATTCAAGAAAAAATGGCTAAGATGGAGCACATTTTCTCATCCTTATAGCTCGATTAATGAATGACGGAATTTATGAAACTCGCAAATCACAGTTCTGTAGTTCATTTACAGTACGCCATCACAAGAAGGTTGTCCTGAACTATGCAGTGTCTCGGAAGTCACCCAACCCAAGTTTAATGCCACGTTCAATGTGCATATTAGATTACAGTCACGTACGAAGCTTATAATTACATAGTCGAAACATGTGTTGAAAGCATTCCGAACCCACGCGTAAACAACGGAATCCGTTTCAACACACTCCCAGGCAATCTGACGACTGACGAGTGACTCCATCGAATTTCCAAAATCATTTTGTACTGCAGCACTTAACTACTACATACGACTACGTCCGAAAACAATGTTCAACAATAAACACATGGCATTGTTGAAAACGTAATTTGTTACATAAACCACTGATTGAAGAGCACGGAATTCAAACAAACCGCTTTAAGCAACGCGGACTCTGTAGGGAGACGAGGCCAGTGTGGCAGTCCAAGTTCATAGTTCGATTCCCGAACGGGCTGAACCTTGAGATGAAGGGTAAACCAGGTGTTGGCATGTTAATCTGGTTTATATAAACGAAGGAGCTGTGATTAGATGGTATTTAGAACGCCTTACTTCATCCAAAATTGATTGATTTTATTAATTTTAGCCTTGTTAAATGTATTAAATTGGAAGAAAGTGGCCACACTCAGTCGCTTGAACGTCTCTCCTCTCGACTTTCCGTCTAGAGGGAACGTGAAATAAACAAAGATTGCGCAATCATATAAGTTGTGCACTTAAGCCTTTCCAGATGTGGAATGACGATTGCATTACAACCATCGCCTCACTGCGACTGACCAATGAAATTTGAATATGGCTTATAGGCGCGTTCCCGCCGTTAAGGTGTGATTTTGGGGGGACGAATCAGATCGCCGCATTTAATTCTAATTTAATAACAATTTCGTAATACGGGAGTATTTAAGGGCGACTGTGGTTACGGGGCGCTCTCAAGTTTTGGTTCTTCAATCGACCAGACATGTTTTATTCAAAATTAAAATTTTATATAAGGAAAAATAGCCGAATCATTGTGCTACCTTACAATAAGTTTGTTTGGATATATATACGTTTGTGTGTCTCAAGAGACAATAAAAGTATACTTCTCCAAGATCATCCCAGTGACGTCTGTCAGTTTCCCAAGACAAGAGAATTCGCTTCCTAAGTATTAAAAGTTGTAACCGCATGAGAGCCACTGGTTTTGACTACAATAAACAAACAGCGAGTCGTGTGTGAGAGAGGACGGTTACACCAGTTTTGCCACAGCGCACGGCGAATTGAAATTTCTCTCCCACGCTTAAGAAAAGATTACGCGTTGTTGTTGTTGTTAGTGAGCTTTGTGGAGAAATTCGTCGAAACCGCGATACACAAATCACATAATACGAGGTCCAAAATGTTGACAAACTAATTCCGTAAAAGCAGGAGAAAAATGCCGCTCACAAAGTCGCAAATTCTTACCTACGGCGTACACACTGCCCTGGAAGGCGACGCAAGACAGGCCGCTGCGTGTGGAAAACATCGGGGAAATGTTTGTCCATTGGTTTGTCTGTGGGTGATACACCTCTGCTGAGGCCAGATATCCATCTCCACTGCATCCGCCAACGACGTAGATTTTATCTATAAAGAGGAACCAAGCTATATGATAAATATATTTGAGATGTTCTGAGTAATTGTACCGATCCGTACGTAATACAGATGTGGGACAATTTGTAGTTGTGGATGCATTTAATGTCCTAGCAACTGCAAGCAATTCCTCTGTGTTCCATTCTGTCGTTAGCTTCTCACTTCCGATCACAGTTAATTAAATCCTGCATATTTGAAATGTTGGCAAATTACAGGAAATACATTCAGGACTAGACCTATTTCTATAAAATAGTTTCTCTTAGTCTGTTACTGGATCTTATTGCGCTCTATCATCTGCAGGTGTAAGTGGATTCTATCTCTCAGTTCTGATAGCCTCGCCATTTTGCATTAATCGACGCGGTTCTGTTTCACGAGATTCACTTTACCACTGAGTGCGGTCGCACTTGCGTCGGATCGGTGCGTGTTCATAGAAGCGATCATAGACCACTGGTTCGTCCTGTAGTCGTATCGCTCGGCCGTTCTATGTCGACGACTGTCAGCGTAGCCACCAGCAACGTACATCAGACCCCCGAGCACTGCGACACTGAGGTAGCCTCTGAAACCAAAGAGTACAGACGTTGATATGCTTCACTCTCCTCTGACTTTGAAGCTCATTTATTGCTCACACAAACAGATTCTCTTTCGCAGAACCTCACTCTGCATTCTCTACTGTTGATTCGTAACTCAAACGAATATACTTAGAACCTGGAGAAACTAAGAACGAAATTAATAACTGGCTTCTATTCGGGTTTTAACGAAGACCGACACTGATGCAAGCGCATTTATTTGCACTCTACTGAATGCTCCTGTATGTGAGCGGTACAGATTATAGCCATTGCACACATATATTTATTGACTAGCAGAATAACTATCAGCTTTTCAAGAAGGACGGAGTTCGTATCTTACCTGCTGGCATTCATGGGCGCCACCTCGTGACATGTCTTTGTAACAGCGTTGAAACAGCGGACTGAGCTCAAGAATTGCACGCCGTCAGAACCACCGATTACATAAATGTTAAAACCGACTACCGCCGTGCCATGGCAGACTCGCGGTCCGGTCGGGTCGCCTTCCTCCACCTACATCAACGACATAATACGGGCATATAATTCTTTTGTTCGTGAGGTCCACCAAAGTTTAATATTTTACCTAAGATTATGGGCAACCAAGGGAGGAGAGGTAAAGCCCTCAACAGTGGACGAATATTGCTACACCGTGCTGGCTGGACCGGCCTACCGCACGCGAGAAAAGTCGTGAGAAATTAATGAGAAACAACGGTGAAATTGTGGCTAATGTTTTCTTGAAGTCTCTAAGTGACTGATCCACTGCTATTCTACTTCAGTTCTGTCTCTGCTCTCAGATGGATGTGGAATATGTTATACATTTCTGACATATGAGGCTCTGAAAGCAATGAAGACAGCGGTTGTTGATAAGGGCCTTAAACGACGCGAAGCGGAGGTAGTACGTTCCCCGGAAACAATGAAATTACGTACCGATTCACACGATGTTACCAACCAAATGACCAACATTCTCGCTGCTCGATACTTAACGTAATTTATAATATTGTAAATAACAATGATGGACGACAATAATTTCGTTTAAGGTGCAAACTCATCAGACAAGTTGTTATAACATTTCATGTAGGACGTTTATAGTGAATGTTGTATTTGGCGAACAAAATTTATTTCGTGGACTCCAATTTTAACACATATTTCACATACGAGAAACGTTTATTTAATTTGTTTATTCGGTTTAATTCTCGTGCCTGTAACTTATTTTTTTTAAAAAAACGTTCGAATGCAGTGGAAATAAATGAAGGCAAGAAAATAGGCAAAGAGAGTTCAAATACTTTAAATGAAATGAGAAAATAAATTAAGTGGCAGAAATAAGAAAAGATAGAAGGGTTTTTCTGCAGACATTATTCAACACGGAGCATTTGTGTGGCACTCACCTTAATCCATCGGTCTGCCCGCGTGTCGTATGTTTCGATCGAATCAGCGATAGTTCCCGCGGTCCACCCTCCAATAACAAAGAGAATGTCATGAGGGATCCGCGGGCTGGCAAACTTTGGAGTCAGAAATTCTTTGTCGTTCGCCAAGATCATTTCTTTGTCGTGCAAAAACTTCTGCATCTCTTCGATCACGGGTCTACATGTCTCATTGTCCGTCACATAAGGGTGATGTCTTACCTGTTTAACAGTGCAATGTACACCTTATAAACATTTAAGAAGAGAGAGTATGAATCTTTGGAGGTTTCATTACAAACGAACACACAGTTTTGGTTGGGAAAACCCACTGAAAGAGATTATGGCATACACAGGAGAAGAAATTTCTTGCTTTACGTAATGTCGCTCTCACAATTGTACAGGTTACAGAGAGTAGGGAGAACAATGTTAAAATCGACCTTGAAGATTTCTATTGAAAAATATTTCAGTTGCAAGATACAGATTTCAGTAAGATCTGTATTTCGAGTTACAACCAAAAATGGATATGTATTTATTATCTCTCCCATGCGAGCTGCTTGTTTCGATCGTCTTGAGTTGATAACTCGAATTCATCTTCAAAATGATGTGGCGTGGAACGAAAATTATGAAAAATTAGATCTACGGTGAATAAAAGGTGAAGGATAAATAATTAGTTGTTTTGAACAATACATGAACACACACTAACACGTGTGTATATATTTATATTATTATTATTATTACTGCAGATGGGTTTATATCGGATGGCAGTGTTGCTACAATAATACACAAACAACACACTAAAAAAAGCTCATAAAATTACAAACCCACAAGGCACACACATTACGCAAAATAAAAAAGGTGTTTAAACACAACAGATAACCTAAAGTAGAAGACGGTAGCAGTAATGAATTACATAACGTTATTACATAACGTTATATAATGGGATAAAATTTTCATGTACTGAGAGCGGACTTTATATTCTACTCTAAGTATTGTGATTAATTAGTGGATGTGTGTTTTTTTATTGTGTGTCAGATGTTTTATTTTGAGTGTGGTATGTTGTATTGTTGTGTCTCATTGTATTGTTGTGTGAGTGCATCAGTTCATGACGTTTGTAATACATTACAGTTATTGTCTTATGTCTAGGTGGTATTAAGTTCTTTTTTTTAAGTTAAGTACTTGAGGTTGGATGGTTTTGTAATTTATGAGTTGGTTGATGTTGAGTGGGATGTGTTGTTTTTGTTGTGTCCTTTTTTATTGTTTTGTTCTGTCTCTGTGTTGATGTATCTCATTGTATGTTGTGTCTTATGGTTTTTGTTCTGTCCTTTGTTTATTGTTTTGTTGTGTCTCATTGTGTTGATGTATCCCATTGTTTGTGTCATATTGTTTTTGTTGTGTCCTTTTGTTTATTGTTTTGTTCTGTCTCTGTGTTGATGTATCTCATTGTTTATTGTGTCTTATTGTTTTTGTTGTGTCCTTTGTTTATTGTTTTAGAGAGCACATATACGTGCTATCTTTCTACGCTGTGCCAGGGTTTCCCAGTTCGAATCGCTCCTATGATATGCAAATTTACTTGCTTTCTTTTGCACCCGTTCTAACGCATTTATCTGCCCCTCCCTGTAAGGATCCCAGCACGCCGCCCCATATTCCAGAATCGGACGCACTAGTGATGTGTAGGCTAGACTTTTAGTGCTACTATTCCCCTTTTTGAGAACACGCATTGTAAAATGAAGTTCCTTCCAGGCTCTCTTCACCGTATAATTTACTTGATCAGCCCAGCTTAAATCGCTGCTTAAGAGTAAGTGGATTTGGACTTGCGTGCTTTCTCTGCATGTAAACATCCACGATTTCAGGGGCATACTGACCCTCTCAAGGAAAAGCGTTTCGTCAATTAGTCCCAGCCTGACGTTCGTCATGAGCTCTGCGATGTGTCCTTTTCTGTTTTCTGCGTCGTGGTCGATCCACCGGAGTACGCAGTTCCACACGACTTCCTCGTCTTTGACGTTCAGATCTTCCGCCCCGATAATCGCCTGCAGCTCCTCTACTGGCATTTCCAGGAGTTCCTCGCTGTGCTGAGACAAATGAGCGAAGTGGCGCGAAACGAAGCGACGAGCGTGAGATTCAAGGCCGGCGCAAAAGTGACACCTGCGGCAGCGAGAATAAGAACGGGCTCATGAGCTCCTTCGAAATCTCGACGAAGTGAAACACTGCAACTAGAACTAGATTCTGTATTGTCGGCACACCACAGAATTTCGCCGACATCTTTTACCAAAAACCCTTTGAAACCCGGATGAAGAGGAGAGAACGTGGAGACAAAGTAGTGACAGGCGCTTCATTTAACTGGGGAAAAGGGAGAAGTTTACGACTGTGAAGGTCCCCAGGCAGAGCCCACTCGTCCTTCTGGTACAGGAAGGTTGAAGAGAAGGCAAGACGTTCGAAAGTGAAGGAGGTGGAGATATGAAAAGTAGAGCAAGGAGAAAATTTGAGCAGATGATCTAACTGCATTCGATATGAATTTTTATTCTGGTATTGACCTTAACAGCTGACACACGTTTCCGTAATGAATGTCCACCTTCCTTGTGTAAATATAATCCAATATCTGAGCCATGATATCCGAGTTGACTCCGTGCAGGAGAACGTCGTTCTGCTCACGGGCGTGCAGTGTCGTGGTGAAGAGGTTCCTGAAACGTCACGAAGCAGCCGTTAATATATAAGTACACAGGGCTTGTGCTCCCTCGAAGCGGTCTGATTTTGAGAAATGCGAACAGAAATTCATAATAGTAATTTACATGAAGTTTCATTTATCTTTATAATTTACGTAGTCAAAAAGTAATGTCAGTTTTGTTAACGTCTGTTGTGTGATGAATGTATTTTTATTTTATGTGAATACTTTCTATACGTTGCGTGAGCACGCACGCACACATAGATCTATATATAGAAGGATTTTAGGTTCTCACGGCGGTAAGAAGATGACTGACAGACTTCACGGCGCTACAAACGAGAAGAAGCCATCTTGGTAATGGATGATTTAGGGGGCATCGCACATATCTCAGGCTATGCATTGCACTGATAGATCATTGTTGTACAAAGCGAAGGCCCCCTGAATGAGTGTTCTGTCACCAACCCCTTGCCGACAAACAATTGAAGATATACGTTAGTGTTTGTACATTGTGGCAACTGCCCCATAACCAGGGAGTAACGGCAGTCAACTTCTACATTGCAATCCAGAAGAGAGCCATCTTCATACTTACCGCCGTGAGAACCTGATATCTCACCACAATAGAAAAATTACAATTTCCTGCAAAAAAGAAGAAACGATATCAAATTTCACATTCTAATTGACGTCTGTTACATCCTGAAGTCCTGTTATGTCCTAATTTCCCATATTCCGGTCGAAAATCTCTTCTCCCCTGAGACTCGAACCAGCGCGCATTCCGTATCGCCGGTCCGAAGCATGATGCCTCAGACCGCGCGGCTACGGCGCGGAACTCAAGAGCGCCCAAACAAACCTGAAATATTCGCTGCACATCGAGAGGATAACTCTGTGGACAGGAAAAGCGCCACCGTCATCCAACCTTAAAACTGCGTCACACAGCAAGTTCTTCTGTCTCAAGTCATTCAGAGAGGACAGCTCTTCGGTGCACATGCACCTGCCATCTTGTCGAGAACAGCAGATTTCTTGTTTTAACTCCATTTCCTGAAAAATAGTCTCCCATTGTTATAACAGGTTTTTCTTCTCATTGACATACCTGCTTATCAACTGAGTGTGTCTGACAATGTGGCATTGAGAAGAATATTTGGTCCTGCCGGATAATGTTTAAAATTACACAAAGTGGAGCTTTATAATTGGAATTTTTCTCGGGTGATAAAATCAAGGAGGATGACATGGGTGGGGCATGCAGTACGCATAGCAGAGGCAAGGAATGCGATATTTCTATCGGAAAACCCGAAAGGAAGAGACCATTTCGGAAACCCAAATATTGGTGGGATGATAATATTAAAACGGGCACTAAGTAAATGGGTTTGAGGGTATGGACTGACTTCATGTGCTTCAGGATATGGTCCAGGTCCGCGGTCCTTAGTAACCTTGGTAATAAAATGTCCGCTTTTATAAAAGCGAAGCATTTTTGATTGAGCCGACTAAATTCGGCTCTGATGTTGTGACGGTGAAACTTCGAAAGGGGTGGGCATGAGTGTGGGGAGGTTAGGCCGGTTTAGGAGAGGGGGCTGATTTGGGGAGACCTCTTCTCGCCAGAACACGGAGGCTCACTCAGGCTGTGGCTACGGATCCGGTAGGCAACGTCTCTCCAGCTGGGCACCACCTTCGAGGTGACCTTGGTTTGTATTTGGTTTGACGTTGTAGTTGCCCGTCTGAATAGGTTTTGATTTTGTTGTGTTGGTGGAAGGGGCAACTACAGTGTTTTTGGGTTATTCTTGGTCCCTCAGGGTGGTCAAGGCCAGGGAGGGGCCGAGAGCGAGCCGAGTCGTGGGGCTTTTTGTTTTGTTTGTTTGTAGTAGGGTAATCAATGACCCCGTGTAACGTGTATGTATTACAATTTGTCTTAAGAAAGTAAATTATTTTGTTTCTAATTGTACATTGCTGTGTTTTGAGTACACCCTTTTTCAGGGGCGTGGGCGAAGTGAACCAACGACATACAGAACTGAACACCTCCTCCCCCTTTCGACTGTTGCTGAAAAGGGGAGAGTGGATCATGATTAAATGCGCTGCTACTGGATTCTCAAGCAGGACTTGGCTCTGTGTCGTCAGTTTGTTTGCTAGTTATAGAAATGCCTATCGAGATTCTATACGATTTTGGCGATCGCTAAGGTGAACCGCGAAGCTCTACATATGAGAAATATATGCAGTGTCATGTAATAAGCAACGTTTTTCATTGTTCACACCAGGTGAAAATTCTGTAGAGTTTTAAGTATCAATGCGATACATGCAATATATTTTTATTAAGTCTCTGGGCTACTGAACACGTCTTACCCCTTAAAATTTTAAATTCTTAATTGTTTACTAGAACATTATTTTACTATAAACAATGCCGTAAACTAACAGACGTCAGTCTCGTATTATTTGAAATTATGTAAGAGGAAATCTTCATACTCACCGCTGTGAAAACCTCAAATCTTACATAAGAAATACAAGGTTAATTTTCTTACAATTGTAACTAAATATAAATGAAAACATGTAAATATGTTGAAAAATGATAATAACAATAAAATATTGCAACCCTTTGCCTAACTCTTCGTTCAAGGGAAGAGAACTTGATGTCCACCCGCAATAAACAATAGAATACAAGGTTAAAATGAGAGAGTACAGTATCATGAATTTCTTAATAATTCACATATCTTACCTTATATTTATTCTGAATGTTTTTAACAGCACAAAAAGTATCTCGTCTACAATGCACTTCTACAAGCGATTCACAGCTCTGTTCTTTCCACACTAACGAAAGCCGACGAAAACTATGACGTAACAATCAGTAAAGAAATGGAGTGCAATAAGGTTTATTCAGGCGTGCATAAGAAATGAGAAATGAGCCTTATGGTATGCACGGTCAAGATTGTTACAGGTGTGGTTTAGAAATTCCAATACTTTTTCTTGCATTGTTGTAGATTGAGGTGTTTATATAAAAGCTGACCATTGTTGTTCCATATTTACATAAACGCGGTCCTGCGCAGTACTACTGAAACCGGGGAAAGACCTCACGCTACCTTCTTCCTACAGACCCATCAGTCTTCCTGACACGGAAGGCAAGCTCTGTGATAGGATCCTATTAACAAGGGTCCTACACGAGGTGAACGAACGCTGGCTGCTGTGCGACGAGCAGTTTGGTTTTCGACCCGGACACAGCACGACGATGCAGCTGGCTCGCCTCGTTGAAAGGGTCGACAGGAACTTCGACGAGAGGCGGCTAACCGGCGCGGTTTTCCTGGACGAGGCCAAAGCCTTTGACACAGTGTGGATCGAAGGCCTCCTCTACAAGCTGACCGTCCTCAACTTCCCGTCATACCTGGTGAAAACCATCTCATCCTACCCTGCTTGCCGGACATTCCACACGTCCTTCCAGTTGGCCACGTCCGCACTTCGTGCCATGCGGGCCAGAGTCGTGCAGGGTGGACTCGTCTCCCCTGTGATCTTCAGTCTGTATGTCAACGACAAACCCACGTCGAGTTAGCGCAGTACGCGGATGACACGGCTGTCGTGACCACATCCCTTAGTCCAAAGCATCTAGTCGGTTATCTGGAGGCCTACCTCGGTAGACTTGAGCTCTGGCTCAGGGCCTGGAGGATTGCTATCAGCGTCTCGAAGAGCACCGCAGTTCTCTTCGTTAAGACCGGGAGACGCATCCATCAGCCCAGAGCGGTGCAGTTTCTCGGACAACTGATACAATGGGTCAAAAGAACGCAGTATCTGGGGGTCACACTTGATACTGGTCTTACCTGGTCGGCGCACGTCAACCAGGCGGGAAAGAGGGCGTGCTAGGCCCGCTCCTTAATAGGAGAAGTGGCCTGTCCATCGAGAACGGTGTGCTGCTCTACAAGCAGCTCATCCATCCCAAGATGGAATACCCATGCCCGATCTGGAGGTCGGCTGCCAGCAGCCAAGTCAGGAAGGTGCAAGTGTTAGAATCCAAGTAAAAGGTAACTCTGATGGTAGTGGAATGGCCTAATATGGAAATTGTTTTTGCGCTTCACCTGTTATTGTAAGAGAATTTAAATAAGCAAATTCAAATTGTTGCAAATGTAGAAACAAAAGTTGAATTTTACGTTTTTGTTGGAAAACATCACTTGAGAGGTCATGAGAATGCTATTACATCATATTTTATTTGTAGGTTTTTTGGAGATTGCATTGAAGAATATTTGGTTCGATATGGGAGTATTTTCACATCCTTGCTGGAGTGAGACATTATTGGGTAGTTTGAGCACCTGGTCAGCTGGCACCACGCAGAACTCTGCCCAGTCCCCATGCTCTTTTCAATCCCAACACCACTGCAGTGGTTGTAATTACCATGTGACATGCACCCACTGTAGTGTCCTTTCTGTCCTTACATCACTTCATTCTGTTTCAGTATCTTAATACCATGTTCTAGAACTTGTTCAAGAAAGTTTCATAGTTCCAGACATGTGTCAATACTTGAACCAAAGACAGGTAATGAAACATATGGTAAAAAAGGTTGTATAATGAGTTCTGTTGTACGAGGAGGAATTTAAATGCACAAAATTTTGCCAGGGTAACATAAAAAAAACAGAACTGGGGCAAACTTCTACCAAGCATATTTCCTATGTTTGTTATTGGTGTACTAACACCACCAGGTCTTTTTTATACCTGTTTGGATCCGCAGCAACATTGTAACCTTGTTCTCGAGTGAAAGACATCATGCCCCGCAGATGTCATCACTGCACTGAACTCTTGTCTGAAAATGACTGGCATTTCATGTCAACTAAATGTTCCCTGGAATGTGGAGAGACGTAGTTGGCATCTTCCGAGAGAGTGGCACAGCTAAGCATCCGAATCTGAAGAACAACTTTGATTTCTACTTTGTCTGTAATGAGGATTCTTTACACAAGAATACCTCATAATAAGCATTCAAGATGGATGGAATGCATACAAATGGTAAATGTTAGCATGTGTCACAAGTGAGACCTGCAGTTTAAATTAAGAATTAAATAAATTACCTCTTGTGGTAAGTGGTCTTTTCAAATTTTGTACATGAATTCAGATGTTTCATATGTGCAGATTGTAGAAAGTGATCAAAGAGTCGTGTGACCATATTAAAATATTTATTGATGATTGCAATTCAGTACAAAATGAGTGAAGTAATTAACATGTATTATGACTCTGACTATACAAGAGCCCTCGCAGGTCGTATGTTGTAATATGCTGGCACCAGTCCATCCATCCTTTTTCAGCAGTTGATGTCTTTTTCACAGCATAATGTTTATTCATTGTGAAGCAGTACCTAGCATCTTGTTTTTACTTAACTTAGTGTTTAGGGATACATATTCTGAGTCTCCTGTGCCAAAAACAATTGACAATATCACATTTGGTGAACTGTTTCCATGGCACAGGTAGTTTGCAGAACAGAAAGCAGTCTGCTGACCATCTGACACGGCTGGTAGGCCAGGAAAAATTCATTAAGCTTCATCTACTTCATTCTGCGAGATTTTGTTTATGGGTGAGTTGAATGAAACATGTTATGAATGTATTGTTGTTCTTCGTTTGGCATTTTCTGTCATTCTTGGACCTACAGCTAAGTGATAGAATTTTTTCTGCAAGTCTTTCCATGTCATCAAATTACACTGTAGTCAGGAAATAATCTGAAATGTGTTTAGAAAGGTGAAGAATGTAAAGAAACAGATTCTTTAAAAATGTAAATAGAGAAAATCCGTGTGAAATTTAGCAAATTGGTTTTTCAGTTTCTTGTGTGAATTTTGCAAGGGAAAGCAATAAACAACATTAAATTTTACAAAATATTACATGTTTCTAATCCAGTTGTCTACACTACAATATGATAGTCAATTTTGTTATTATGAATTACTTTCTTGTGAAAGTTTCAATGTAAAAATGGAAACCAAATTATCATGGTACATATTTATGATCACTTTAAAACATAAGCCACATTATGGTGAACATGAATGGGGTCCTTGACCATTTTCAAATAGATAGAATGTGAGAAAGAGCAAGAGGTGATAACTGGGGGGTGGGTGGGAATAAGAAAAAATGCTTACTTGCAAAGAATTTACAAATTAATAAACAGAGCAACAGATCTGTTGAATGCCATTTCATACACTTCTGAAATATTCTGCATAATACGTTGTAGAATGTATGAACTGTAGTTTATTACGACTGTTAGCTCGCATGTGCCACCTTAAAAATGAAGGTTGTTGAATGTAGTCCTCAGCTGGTGGATGGATTGGTTTAAAAGCTGGAGATGCATTAGTCTGCTATGAGATATATGAAGATGAATAACAAGAGATTAAGTGGAATCCAAGATTTTGAAAGGTTATGTGTGGTGTAATGAAATTCACATTTTATCATGTCAGAAACCCAAAGCAGAGATTCCAAAATTTGACCTCCTACAGAAAAGTTTTCAGGAACATACATACCTAGTAATTTTGACGACTGTACTCAAAGTCATGTTTGCCTTAGAAACGCCCATAAATAACTGCATAATATTACAGAAATTTATAACCGAAGATTTTGCATGACAAGAGATTTTTAGTAATCACATGCAGTTGTAAAACAGGGAATTGATGTGGATGCTCCTCAGTATATAAGGAACTTCATCATTGTACATACAAAATATTTTTAGAAGCTAAATTTATTCTGCATATGCAGAAAATAATTAAGTGTGAGGATGGAATGAATATGGCTATTCACAAAAATAGCTAGAAGCTGCACTTACAAAGTCACTGCATTGGGTTCAATTTCCATAGGAAATAAATGGTGAAAGCATAGTCATTACTGGAGGGGGTTGGAGGTAAAGCTCCATGCATTCTTAACCTTGGCAGTAGAAGGGGGCAAGGGGTCAACTTCATGCCACAGCTGCCTTAAGCCTGAGAAAAGAACCCTGGTATTCAATGGATTGGATGGGAGGTAGGGTGGGCCCCACATCCAGACTGGACATTGTGACAAAGAGAAAAATTCCTTCCTAGCCCAGTCATCAGCCTGCATCTCAGTCACTATACTGACTCATGAAACGGTACCATTTTTCATATATTATTTTGATCACTTCTGCAGAACCATCACAGCCATCATACAAGTGTGCTTAACCATTGATGTAGGTAATATTACCAAACATGTAGTATTCTGTGTGATGTAGAAATATGCTTTCTGTGGTAAATTGTCTTCCTGATATGGTTATTAGGTGGTCAAGAAGTCTCTTTGCTTTCTATTCTGACAAAAATTCTCTATGCACTTCTAATATTTAGCCACAATATTTCCTCATCTATCTTAATTTAATTATGGTTACATTATTAAGTGAAGAATATAAATTATGAAACTCCTTGTTATGTAATTTTCTGTACTCCATTCTTATCCCCCCCCCCCCCCATAGGTTCCCTGAGCACTTCTTATTCACTGTACACTCATTTCCTATCAGAGCAACAGAACTCCACCCCAAATTATTCTTGCTAATGTAGGAAGGAGGAGTTGTAGTTAATTGAAAGCATGGTTATGAAACAAGTAACTAACTCCGTGGAACAGAATCCTTCTGGAGAAGCTGGTAGCTGAATTAGTTAGGATGTTTCCTGTCCTTTGTGGAACCCAAAGAATTTGTTGCCATGTTTGCAAGAGCATATCAACAGTCTGTATCCTAAGGCAGATGAAACTAATTCATGCTCCAAATACTATTTGGTGCAATTTTGTAGAGCTTCCTGTTTCATTCCTCTTAGGGCCAGATATTCTCTTAATCACCATGTTTTCAATCATCCTCAGTTTGTGTAGTCTCAGTAGTTTGACACACAACTTTCACGCCCATTCACTACAGCCAGTAAAAGTATAATTTTGTATATGTAATCTTCACATTATTAGATTACAGATGGAAATGCAAAAGATTTTCAGCTGCATGGTAGTAAGCAAGCTATAATTTTGTCCTGAATACAGTTCTGATTTAATACTGTCATTTTTAAATGTTTGAACTTTGCCACATTTTCAAAGTATTTATTACAAGCAGCTTCTTATGACCCAGAGAAAAATAACCACTGGTTATTCTTATTAATAATACATAGCAGAATAAAACACCTACCAGAGTGACTGGTCTGTTTGAAATTTCAAAGTTTCAAATTTACTTGAAGTGTCTCTTTCATTGTAATACATTTTTCATCACTCCTGTGTGTAAATGATGAAACAGAAAAATATTATTCATATGTATAGCTGATAATTTCATGTATGCATATACTCCACAGTTTGTTAATTGGAGGCTGGCACTGCTACTGGAAATTATGGAAGTCACTGATGTAAATTGTATTTGTACACTCTGTGCAACAAAAATCTAGTGCTTGAAAGCATACAGCTGCTTTAAGTTCCAATAATATTTGTCAATATACAGCTAGTCTGTATCTCCCATTAATTACGTTTATTTATGCCACATGCCTGTTAAGCAGAGAGACCAATATGTCGCCTAATTTGAAGGAAAGTGTGGCTTAATATTAATAATTATTCTAGGACATGTGACCAAGTTCCACAGCAGATCGGAGGTGATGAACGTACTTGACTTGGCCATCCACATTCTCTGGTAGTGAGTTGAGAATCTAATTGCGTCTGTACTGAGATAAGATGACTGTTTGTGTTGAACCTCAGGGATTCTGGGCATCCTTTTACAGAATTCAGGCCTTAAAAATTGGACTTTTCAGGGCTAAGATACTAACACAACAGGACGCAACCCTTGAAACTACATTTGACATGTTCTGTGAAGTTTAATTGAAAGTTCTCAAGTTTAAGCATTTATTCATATTTACAAATTTAAAACCCCACTTAATGCATAAAAGTACTTTTGTAAGGCAACATGGGCCTGCCTACAGAATGTTTAATTTTGTCTTACTTTCATATGTAGTAGCTTGAAAGTACACATGCGAGGTAGGAAATCAGCTCACTTATCCAGTTTCAGAGGTCCTTGCTGCCTCCATCATCATGGTGATAATGGAGGAAGCATGGATCTCTGAAATGTCAGTAAACTTCTACCAGACTACACAGCACAACAGTGAAGACAGCAATCTTCATATTTAAAATTTACTGTCCACAGGCTTATATCACAAACTTGCCCAATTCCTTCTTCATTGTTGTCAGCCTCAGGTAAAAGTTCATTTACATGTCTAGAACTGTCTTAAAACCCTGGTGATTTGACCTGACAACTTGGGTTTCACCATACTGACCCTAGTGGTATACTTACCAACATCTCAGATGCCAAAACATGGAAGTCCATAACGTTAGTAAAACAAAAATGGGGGTTGCATGTAGGCAGGATAACTGATCTCCTTAGTGTGGACACTGGCACACAGTACACCCATTTTTGCTCCTTTGTAGAGTGGCAGTTTATAGGGTAACATTAGTTTATTCAATAATGGCACAAGTAAGAATAAGGAAAACCATATTATTTAATGTATCAATCCACAATTTTTCACATGTATATTGAGACAAACTGTAGACTGAAAATTGCCCTCTCAAAAATTATCAAATAATTCTCTGATGAAAGGTTCACTAATAAAAGCTTCTGCTGGTATTGTCCCAGTTGCATTCATCAAGACACTTTCTTGCCCACTGCTTATTCATTCCAGTCTCAGCAGCAAGACCTTCCACCATCCGCTGCTTCATTCCATCATCTATAAGTTTAACCTGACGAGATGTTGCAGCTAGAACTGATGTAGGAGGTGTGGTTGGCAGTAACCAGAATGACAATCCTGTGTCCCATGGATCCTGCCTGATGGTATCCTTCCATCTTCGTATGACCATCGCAAACAATTTCTGCAAGTAAACTTTGAAGTCTGCAGCAGCAAAGAATAGGTTCATTCATAACCCAAGTGTAAATTTTCTTTGTCGTTCTGATAGCTTTGTTCGTTATTGCACTGCTTAGTGGTGATGAAGGCATTTTGACTGTAGTCGTGTGTGTCTCTGGTGTATGAGCTGAGGACGA